CTTTGCCCAGATCTTGGAGGAGCACGGTCCGCTGGTGGCTGAGGACCCCCTGCTGGTTGGTGAACTGAAATATTTTCCTTCCGTGGCTCAGCAGAAGATCCAAGAAGCGAGCAGCTTTGAGTCCTTCCTCCTGGAGTCCCTTCGCTTCATAAAAATGGGGAGGTGTATCGGCCTGGCTAAGCATGCTGTTGGCTTGCAGCAGGCCGGACATGGAGCCATCCTGGATGACCTGGACATCATAGTGGATCCTGAGACAAACAATGTATCTACTGATTTGCATGAACCTGTTTTCCCAAGATATGCGAGCAATTTTTCATCTGCACAGACTCAAGTACATCCCGTCCTCCCAAATCCTTATGCATTTGCCTCCCAGTCAGCTTGTGAAGTTGCACCATATGAGGACAGCTTCTATCGCTGGAGTAGCAGGGACAGTCAACAGCCATCCCCTCACTTTTCCATAAATGACAGAAGTGAGTTGGATCATGTCAGTGAATCTGATGTGGGAGTTTTGGATATTGATCCATCTCCAGGTCAAGTTGCTTCTTTGACAACTAAGGAAAACTTTTGGAGGAAACATGCAGCAGTTCAGGTTAATGTCAAGATTTTACTCAGATGTTTGAATAAAGCTAGATGAAATACCTGAATGCTGAATTGTTAGTAAGTTTGAATTTCTCTTTTTTTTGTTCTGTTAGACATGTCCAGAGACCATGAGCAGTGTCGCAGTGAATACAGAGCCTCATGAGCGTTTTGAGAGCTGCCATGTGAGTGCAGCAGCTTCATGCTCCACAAATGTCGGTCTGACTGTTTATCAATTTTGATGTTGACCTTTCTGGCCCTTTTCACATGTCCAGGGCGACATCAACAAAAAAGAGAAAAGCAACAAGAAGTTGGAGCAGCAGATCAAGGAAATGGCGAATAACAGAGTCAACCAAAAGCACAAAGACGACATCACCGCCCACGAGGAAGACATAAAGAAGATCAATGCCAAAATACAAGTAGGTCCATACCCAGTTTTTATAGGTACAATGCACAAGTATAAAGATGAAACCGAATAGCTGATGATGTAATAAATGGTTCTTTTCTCTTGTCAAGGTGACCAATAAGGAGCTGACACTGTTCCAGCAGAAGCTGGAAGAGGAGATTAGAAAGGACCAGAAAGAGAAGAAGGCCAACCAGGAAGTACTGAAGTCTCTTAAGCTGGAGACAGAAGAGTTGGTGGAGGAACAGGGAAGGTAAGACAGAGGGCAATGAGTGTCCATCCCCTGGTTAGCTTTTATATTCGTTTCCTGTGTCTGTTTATTCAAGCACCTCAGCATGAACATAGATCAAATAACCTCTTGTATATTGTAACATGAGTCCCAAGTGTTTGTACAGATGTCACTTCCTGCCACTCTTCACTATTTTATTTGGAATAAAGTTACAGTTGTATATGTTGTGCATAATCATCACATTCCCATTTTTGACATTAAGCACCAGAACAATGTAAACTAGAATGCCAGTATAGGCCATACAGCACCAAATTCCTCATTTTGAAAAAAATCTCCCCCATATAACTATTCTAGATCCTGGCTTCCTGCCACAACTATACTGGATGTACCAAATTGCACACACTCAGATATCACTCCCCTAAATATGAAATGTTTTGTCTTCAAGATCCATGAATTATTCCTTGGGGAATTGGTAAAAATGTCAAATCTCACACTCACTCCACTTTACAACTAATTTACAACGCTACAACTCTGTCCTAGGGGAAACAGCATTTTTTTTTAAACTGTTGATTGTTCCCAGTTGTATAGTGTATACAACATACAACAACATCATGCTCTTAATCAGTTACAGTGTCAGCAGGTCACTCTATGTTTTATTTGTGTGATCTTTTTTTCACGTGTAGTCTGGCCCGAAACATCCGAGAAAAGAACGCCTGCTATGAAACAAAATTAAGAGATTTCATAGAGCTGGGGTAAGAGATGAGAGAGTCAATGGTGAAGCATAAGTTTAAATCCTGCCAGATTTTCTTTTGTTCAATTCCTTCTTTGTCTCTTCAGCAATCAGTCAGAAGCAGAGAAGTTGAGTCTGGAGGATGAGATCAAACGCCGCAAAGTTTTGGTTACTTTGGCAACCAAGAGGTCTCACACAGCTCAGGTAGGTCCTGCAGCTCGACCCTAAACAGGCACAATTAATGAATCAGTATTTTCTTGGTCGGTCATTGAAAATGTTCTTTCTTTCTACACTAGCATTTAAACATAACATATTTTATAATGTATAATCAGGACATTTTCCCCTTCACTTACAATGAAGGCACATCAGTCCTCTTAAACTCAATCAAGCTGCAGTAAATTACAAACACTCAGAGATATATTTTCCATGAAGATCTATAAATTGTTTCTTTGGAAAACAGTGAAAATGTTGAAAAACACCTGATATCAAAGTTTTAGTGATCACAACCTTCCACCAAGTGTTAAACTTGCTTACAACAAACAAGGGTGAAAACATAACCTCCTTGGTAGAGGTAATAAAATCATTATTTGGGGTTATCACTCTTTGCCTTTAAAAGCTTCAGTTCTCCTGGAAAGTTCTTTATGACTCTGGCTGTTTGGGGTTGTTGTCCTGCTGTAGAATCAATCAGTGCCTCCCTCATGGTTTTGAGACAACCTAAACATATTGAAGCATTCCTTTAACTGCTTGATTTGCTTCTGCAGTTGTCAGTAGTGGAGAGCAGCCGGGAGCAGGTTTTGTGCAGCCTCTACAAAGAGCAGGCAGACGCCAAGGCTTTTCTTACCAAATTGGATGAAGCAGTTCACAGGTAAGGGGAGTGAAATCACGGCTGTGCTAACAGGATGGACTGGTTTGACATTTATTAGTCATATCCTTTATCTTTCCAGATTCCCAAACCAAGACATGGAAACTATTAGAAACACCTGGAGGTCCAATGTCCAAGAAATTGAAAAGAAAATCTCCATTGCTGAGGTAATGAATTAACTAAAATAATCAAAAATAACTAAAAAAAAAAAAAGTAGGAAGATGGCTGCTTAAATCAGAGGCTCCAGCAACACTGCAGTTTTATTTTGCACAAATTTCAAGTTATCAGATTTAAGAGATACGACCCTTCTCTACAATAACTGAAGGGTTAAAGCAGTTAACCAACTTGTCTCTGTGTGGTCCACAGACACAGTACCAGGAGCAGGTTGATCAAGTGAAGAGTGGGAGAAAAGTCAGTGAGTTGCTCATAAGCAACATAAACAACCCATCGGACGCCCCAGTACATATAGTAAGACTTTCATTTCTCTATTTTAAATCAAGACCTTTTTTAAAATCTGTGAATGAAAAATCAATTATTGAAAGTAATTTACAGTAAAAGTACAGTGTAACAGTATAAAAATATAATCCGGTTCTATGTGATATTGCAGATTTTTGGAGCAGCCGGCTCTCCACCGCTCGTCCAGCAACCCGCAGCTCCGTCAGCAGCTGAGGCTCCAGCTGCTCCACCTCCAACGCAGCACAAACCTCCAGCGAGGACACTGGAGCCCCCACACACCAAGTTTGACAAAGTCATTGAGGGCCTGTCCATCATTTTCCCTGTCTACACAAGGTAACACACTGATGCATAATGTAACGATAAATCAGTCAATATTAGCCAATAAATAAGAAACTAAAATGCTCATGTATCACAGTTGATCTTCAAAAAGCAATGAAACGTTTATTTTTTAACTGCTCTTCTCAGTTTTCAACATTGGTATCATTCTTCAAAGAAATCTAAGCAATCTTTATCAACATTGTTTATATGTAATAAAATACTTGTCATTAAGTCATGCTTAGAATGCCGCTTATTCATATCAGATGACCTGAAACATCCAGTATTGGTTTTGTTCATATGATCTGCGTGTGCATTCAGGTCAGAGTTGATGAGGTTTGTTCAGGAGCTGCGTTCCTCCAGCGGTGGAAGCCTGAGCAACATGGCGCTGCAGGATTTGGTCAGCGGAGTGACTCAGCTGATCCTGGACCATCAGGTAGGTCTTGTTTTTCATTATTTTCACCTTTGTAAATATTTGGACCTTTCCAGAAACAGATTTCTAGAAAAACTCCAGAAACATGTCAAGTAGACATTAGTAGGGTTTGGTAGTGATCGTCCAGTCATTTGTCATCTGTAAATAACTGTGTTACCTTTTTGTCTGTTTCTAAGGAGCTTAATTCAGTGAGATCCAACATTATGGGACCTGGGAGGCCAGCTCAGAGTGCTACTCCCCCATTGGTGACCCCAGCTCCTGTCTGGCAGCCGGTTGTATCCCAAAGATCCACACATTCTAATGCAGTAAGTCCAAAATCAGTAACAAATTCCCAACAATAAGCATTTCCCATTATAATTCATCACAGCCGCAGCTCATTAATGTCACATTTTATTAAGAGAGCACAGTGATGTATGACAAAGAAAGATGAAATACAGATAAAAGACAAATCTTCAATATAAGTTTAGAGTCAGTATAAGCAAAAAAGTGATTTAGAAAAGATTGTCTCAAATTAGCATGATGGGAATTTCATTATCTTTGAAGGAAATGTACAAATACGCTTTGACCTGATGGTGGCGCTCGTAGAAAACTCAGCAAGTTATTACATTTCATCCTGTGGCGAACAAGAATGTCAGCACCCGATTTAACAACAATGGTCTCACCCTCCCCACACACTGATGTCTGTGGAGCCGTGCTGCGACTAAAAACTCCCCACAGTGATTAATGAAGTGTGTGTCTGTGTCTTGACAACAGCTCAACATGGAGGATCCCTGCATCATCTGTCACGATGACATGAGTCCAGACAGCACGTGCGTGCTGGGGTGCAGACACAGCTTTCATAAAGAGGTGAGTGTTTGAACATGAGCAGCTGAGGAGGATTTAATTCACCTCCCTTCAGTTTTTTATCAAAGTTACAGCTGAGTGAAACGAGCAGGCAGAAAACCTCATCTCCACCTGAAGGTCACATGTTCAGTTTCTTCAGAAAGTAATAAACACCCAACAAAAAGAATATTTTAAGGGATTTTATTTTTGTTGACATGAAGCTGAAGTGCAAAAAAAAGACACAGAAGTAAAGATTATTTAAAAAATCTTCTGTCAGCTTTTCTTTGATATCGATCAGTTCGTTCATGATGTCACGCTCAGAGCACAGAGCACAGAGCAACACACACTAACATTGTCAGAAGAGTCTGTAAAGTCACACAGGGCAACAACTTCATTTAGAGAAACATTCAGGACTTATTTTAGTACCAGGTGTGAATTTTATCCAGGCTTATTTATGTATTAAGTATTTTAATAAATTATGCAATTATCCATTTTCATATCAAAGGAAATATTACTGTTGGTCATTTGATGAACATAGAAGATGTTTCGAAGTGCTTAATGCAGCATTGGAATATTTATGTGATGTTAATGAAACAAGAATCAAACTGTGGAATGTGTATGTGCAGGAATGTGTGACCCGTCACAGACACATGTATGTTACTGAGCACATGCATGATATAAAAACATAACTCTGGTGGTCAGCAGCTCCACAACACAGCTTTTTAAAACAACTGCCCTGAAGCCCAGACTCCGAACACAGACACAGAAAACATATAAATGGAACCTATTTTTCACATTGTTTCAGTTGCTAACAAAAGGGTTTGGATAATAAATCTGTGTGGGGACGGTGACTGCTGCTGAGTTTAATATTTGACTTGTTCTGTGTGTTCAGTGCATTAGGTCGTGGCTGAAGGAGCATAGCACATGTCCGACCTGCAGGAACCACAGCCTGCTGCCTGAAGATTTCCCCGCGCTGCTGGGCCGGAGACGCCCAGCTCCATAACATGTACCCGCTTCACTTCCTAAAAGTCTGCTTTTAATGTTGAGGGTTTTTTTTACATTTTAGTCATCAAAATATAAACACACCTTTAGAGGGTTTTTTTGTATGTTTAGCGAAATAAAACAGTCTTGTGTTCAATCTCGTCTTTTTCGTTTGTTCATCTCTGATATTTCAAATGGTCAAGTTTGAAAATTAAGATTTTTTACGCTGCTCTCTTTTAGGACCAAATCGTGGGAAAATGCCTGTACAGAGTTTTAACTTGACTGATCATCACTGTCTCCATGAATGTGACGTTTATAACATTGGAATATAAAAAATCAATCACAGATTTGATCCCACTTATGTTTATGAGGGAACGTTCTGAATTCATCAGTTGAGCCACTCTTACTTAGCATTACTTCTTTTTCCAGCTGTAGAGGAGCTGTTACTTAATGAAGAGCACAAGTTCAGATTTCGTTGTCGTCTGTGCTGGTTGTTTGTATGAAGAGTGGCAGCAGCAGAGTTTCAGGGAAGTTACCTGACGGCGGTTTCAGACTCTGCACAGCTTCAGGGGGAAGTTCTCAGTGATCAGATGATCGTCGTGTAACACAATGACGACGTTCACTTCAAACTCTGAAGGACAGAAACAAAGGGCATGAGAAAGGCCTCAAATGTAATGATTGCATTTTGGACTTTTTAAGACCTGTTTAGATTTTATATCCCATCCAATAAATTAAACAAATAGCTGCTGGGATTTACTGTAAAATAAGAGAATGATACATGAATGAAGAACTTGAAGCAGAGTGGGAGGCTTTACTGACCGACTTTGAAGTTGGTGGTCTCCAGCGTGGGGCAGGTGAACAGCCTGGGAAACACCATGTAGATGGGAATAGAGAGGCCGTGGCAGACGTCACCTTCAGCTATCTGGATGTTCTGAATCTCTGTGGCATCTCTGGCGTAGCCTTCAGCACAACCTGAACACAGCAGGCAGTAAGATTTTAAAAAAAAACAGCAGCTCAGCTTCTTAAAAAAGAAAATGTCATCATGAACTCACCGCAGGTCTCTACTCGTACAAGTTGCAGCTCAATACTCTTGATGGGGACGTCTGAGTTCTCCACCACCACCTCTCCAGTCAGCGGCTGGCTGATCACACAGCTGGTGGCGTCTAGATGGCCTCTGATCAGGAACTTTGGCAGTGAACTCCTCTGAGGACAGATGGGAAGTTTATTCTCTCATCTTTGAATTAAACAAAGTGAAGCAATAAAAATAACTGAAGAAGTGACGAGGGTTTCTCACCTCTCTGATGTTCTCTAAGGTGTCGGGAGTGATGGTGAAGTTAACTGGGTTGGGGCCCATTTTAGCTTTCAGTGGCTGAAAATTTTAAAGAAAAAGAAGAATTCAACATGACCAACATCTTCTGAGTTTTTAAAAATTACAACTAGGTGGGGTTTACACAAGATATGAGGATTCTCATTTGTAAAGAAGGTAAAGTTAAATGTACAGAAATCAAAGGACCTCATCCAAATAAAGTTGATTAAATACCAACAATAAAGCAAAGAAAAATAGAATAAAAAACAATAAATCTGAATTGCATTACTGCATTAAAATCCTGGGATCGTCTGGTGTGAACCTTGATCAAAGCTTTTAATCTGAAGCTCCACCAACGCAACGGAGAAAAAACGACAAAAAAATGTCACAAGACTTTAAACTGTCTTATTCCCATATCCCAGTTTCACTCACCTGACAGTGTACGATGAACTCACAGTTCCTGCTCAGGTCTTTGGCCAGCAGGGGGCGCCTCATGTCACAGCGGAGGGTGTACTGAGGAGAAGACACAAACAACACACACAGAAAAACTGGATTTGAAACAAAACATTTACTTTAAATTAGATTAGTTTCATTATTGAGATTTTCTCCTAAAGCTGGATTCATTTATCCGAGTATATGCAGGTAAAAGCGTCAGAACATCAGTGAGTGTCTTTGTGTACATCTCATATCTCTTATAATAATTGTATATTTTAACATACAAACAAAGTACTTAAAGAAATGTTTCTAATTTTCTAATTAATAACTTGTGTTTGCATAAAAGCTGTAAACTGAATTCTGAAGTGGATTTAACAACCAGATTGGAAACTTGTTCAAGTGAATCCTACTGAGGTTTATATGTGATGTGAAAGCAAAAGAGAAAACCAGAGGATTTTACGAGCATGCGTGATGTGTTATGTTGCATGAATTTAAAAGCAGAGCTATCAAATCCATTTGTTGATTGTGAACTGTCAAGAACTTGATCTCTCGGTTGCATGCAGGAATATTTCCTAAGACATCAGGGAGTGAAATGGAATTCAACTTGAGGTGTGTTGGGCATGCATCATACCTGAATGTTGACGAAGACACCGTGGTAGGTCTCGTATAGAACTTTGTTGCCTTTTGTGAGCAGAGGAAACTCAAAGGGGATCTCAGTCTTGCCGCCTGGGATCTTTCCTGCCTTGGCCACCTCGATGTTACTGCTGATCAGCTGGATGGGCTGCAGCATGTGACAGGAAGGTTGGATTAATATCAGCATTGTTTAATTATCTATATTGTGTGTAGACACTTTAGATTTCAACAGCATGTTGTCAGGTTGTCTGTTGTAGCCTTGACTATCAAAATGGAACATTAAGTTGGTTAGTATTTTTATTCTATATGCAAAAAGATCAAAACTCATGATAATCATTTCAAAATGATTAAAATAAAAATAGAACGACTAACGGATAAACTACTTCAACCCTCCTGAGTATCAACCATTTTTGCCTAACTTCTGCATTAATGCTGATGAATATCTGTGAGGATCGTGAGGTTTGTAAAATCAAAAGAGACCCATCTGTTATGGACTCCAGACGTCCTCCGAGTTAAACCTCGTAGTTCACCTTGACAGAATTGTAGAAAGCCTCGAAGACGCCGACACTCTTGGAGCTGAGCTGCAGGTTCACCACTCCCTCCATGCTCAGAGAGATGCCATGGTGCTGCAGCGGCTCCTTACACACCAACACGATGACACCAGCCACCGCTTCCTGGACACACACACACACACACACACACACACACACACACACACACACACAGCTCAGGTTCTGCTGTAAGAGCTCTGAACATGTCCGAGGATCAGTCATGATTTACACTCTTACACCATATTCGACTAAACTGATGAATCCTTTCTCCATGCTTCATTTTGATCAAGACTGACGATGCAATTCACCATGATGATAATACTAATTTACAATGTTTCAGTGTGCACAACCTTCATCAGGTATAGATAGATAGATAGACAGATAGAAAGGTAGATAGATAGATAGATAGATAGATAGATAGAAAGGTAGATAGATGACATGAACATAGTCTGTAAATAATGGGGCAGCAGAGGGACGATTTTTTTTTTTAAAGGTGAAAACAGAGCAAGAATAAAGCTTAGAAACTAAATCGAGAGATATAAACAATATAAATTAAATAAAGATAAGCACAGGCAGGGATGGTGACTGGAGATTTTACAGTAGAGTAAATATTGCGCATAATGCCTTTTTCAATTCAAAATAATGAACATTGAGGCTGAATTTCTCCAAAATGTCACAGTAAATATGCTTGATACTGAGTGAGTGAACAGACAGGATGGTCCTGAGATCAAGTGTATCAATCTTTGTTAGAAATGATGGAATAAAGGGATTTTACAGTCAAAGATTGGCTCGCTCCGTATCGTGGATCACCTGCATTAGCCATACATTCTGTAATACGGGCGCACTTGAAATCAGGAAAAGACGAACGTCTGCTCACTTGACCGCAGTTTTACTCTACGTCACTCTATATGTCCCATTCTCTGAGGCCACTGACTGTGTCCTCTGCCCGCTCAGAGTGTTGTGAAGAAGAGACTCAGCGCTTCTGTCTGAACAGAATGTTCACACATACTAAGAGAAGAAAACTTAAATCAAGAGTAACTGAGTTGTCTCCACTGAGAGAAACAGGAAGCTGGCAGCGTTCAGGTCTGCATCCTCATCAGCTGTTTGTCATGTGCCCAGACAACACCTCGGAGTTAGTTATTCAGTTAGTGAGACTGATAGTAGGTGAATTTAAAGAACTGCATCTTCCTCTGACGGCGACACTTAAACTCCAGATTGAAAGGTTGGAGCTAATGCTGGAGGAAGCAGCAGTTAGCATTAGCTCGCTGTGTTTACGTACTTACCCCTTCAAGATAAACTTTGTTCGCTCTTTTCAGTCTTATGTCCAAAGTGACGCTCATGTCTGACGCTCAAACCTCACAGTTTAAGAACACCTGCTCGAGTTTATATTTGATGGGATGTTTAATATGTTCAACAAACTAACCGGCGCTAAATGTTTTTACACACGAATCTGGTTTGTTTATAACCGGAAGCAGTATCAACATGGCTTCCGGCCCGAGTCTTTCAGAATAAAAGCGAAATCATTTCTTCCTCGAAAACGCTTCCGGCTCAACTACATCAAAGTAAAAGCGTAATTAAAACCAATCTTAAGGAGCTGAGGGCAAACCAAGCTTTTTTTAAAATATATATTGTGTTTCATCTAAATGGTACAAATTGTTGTTTTCTTTACCCTGGAATGGTCCTTTATATTGAAATACTTTATATTTACATTGGGACGGGGTCCTCTCTACAATGCCGCCATGTTTTTTACATTCGTCCAAACTGGACAAACTAAACACCTTTTGAGTTTGTGTGACAACTGAAGTCTTCCACAGATTCTCGTTCATGTCTGGAAGGAGAGGGTGAGGTGAGAGGTTATTTAGCTGCAACATGCAACTTCACCACTAGATGTCACCAACTTCTACACACGGAACCTTTAAAAGCTTATTTTAATGCAGTGAAAGCATGAGATGTCCACTGCAGAACCTTCTCAATGGATAGAAATTGTAGAGTAGTGGTGAAATCCTGAAGCTGTTCAATCAATTAATCCATCAAATTATATTTGAACAGCCCATACTCAGAAATCACAAAAAACTACAAAAAAAACCAACCTATTAACAGGAGAAAAAAACATCGAAACCTCAGAGAGAGCCTCATGTGAGGGATCCCTCTCCCAGGACGGAGAGAAGTTGTTGTGTTTACTGTCATAACATTTGTTTCTTGATATTTTACAAACGTGTCATTTCAATTAATTTATATAAGATGATCTAACTATCAGGAGTGCAGCTTTTAGATATTTCTCGCCAAGCTAATTTTCTGGGGGATAAATTAGCCTATAGTACCTGATTAAAATGTCACTGCTCTGACTCTGACCGTTGTTTTGACCATATACAATCACCAACAGTCAACTCAAGCTTCAGTGTTGCCACAACAAGAGCTGACAAGTGAGATGATCAAGCCGAAGCAGAATGAGTGAGTCCTTTGAGCAATATGCTGTAGGACCTTTGAGTCTATAACAAATTATATTTCAGAGCAAAATCATATATGTTTTATGTTAATAAACCTGAAGTACTTGTAACTATATTAGCTGTGATTATGAATTAACAAGTATAAACGTGTGTCTGCATTTAGTGCAAGGAGAAGCTGCATAAAGTGGAATACCTGAAAATGGTACTTAATCACTTGCACTAAAAGACATTTAATTCTGTTTTTATAAATGAACAGGACACTTTTATTTTATTGAATGAAGAAACATTTATTTACAAAACAAAACCAATAATTTCAATGTCAGGTATTATAGTCATGTTACAAGTAAAAGGGACTTAAATCAGCTTATATATGTTGTAACACATTTTTCCTTTTCATCCACCATCTATTCTTTTTTGTAGTCCTCCTCAAGCTTCAGCTTCTCTGAGTTGTTTTTGAGGAAGCATGGGTCATTGCTCACTTGTACCTTGTCAAAAAAGTTGAAATCTGCCACGTAGCGTCCGCCTGTGGTGCCGAACAGCACCGGCTTGAACTCGTAGCCCCAGAGGATCTCCTGGGCAACGTAGGAGGTGCGACTCTGACACGTGGCTGCCGTCGACTCCATTGTGGCATTGAGGGTGATCAGCAGCTCAAACGGTCGAGTGTAGAGGTTTTCTGCGTTCAGTCCTGCCAGCGGACTGTGCTCGTCCAGAATGTGGTAGAAAGTAAGAGGGAGGATGAGGAAAGGGCACTCCCCACTGGAGTCCATGTGGAAGTCAACAGCGGTCTGGTAGACCTGCGTCTTCTCACCCTCCTCTGTCACATTTGAGTGGAGGAGCTTTCCTGTCAGGTGACACTGGATCAGGAGGCTCTTCCTCATGTTGGCCACTCTCACCATCAGACACAGCTTTCCTTGGTGCTGGCAGATCACCGCCAACTGGCTGAACTTGATGGTCTCCGCTCGCTTCTTAGGCCGAGCCAGTTTGGCTAGAAAGGCGCCGGTGACGAAGATCTCAGCCAGGCCAGTGATGACGAGCTGAGCAACCAGAGTGAAGATGGCCAGGGGACATTCCTCCGAGATGTAACGAAAACCATAGCCGATGGTGGTCTGTGATTCCAGCGAGAAGAGGAAGGCTCCGGTCAGCGTCTCCACGTTCATCACGCAGGGCGTGTGGTTGGAATTCAAATTCCCCTCCAGGTCTCCGTTGCCCATTCCAATGAAGTAGAAGATGACCCCAAAGATGAACCAAGTCATGACGAAGGTGGAAGCAAACAGGGTGATTTTGTAGCGCCACTTCATGTCCACCACAGTGGTCCAGATGTCGTGCAGGTAAAGCTTGACCATGCCCTCCACATTGTCAATCCGCACTTTATTGTGGCCGTCCTTGTCCACAATCCTCCGCTGGACCGCTGCTCTCCTGTTGTTCATGTTGGAAAGGACTGACAAAACACCAGAAAACATATGATTTCATCTGTAGCCTCATTATTTTCACATACAACATCCTAGTTATATTTATTTACACATTTAATAAGTAATTCAAAGTGTAATCTCGTAAACCCAAAAATATTTTCTCTGGTGTTATCTAGTAGTTAGTTTGTTGTCATTTTTTTCATCCGTCTCTGAGGTTTTTTTCATAGTTTTGTTTGGTTCTCAAATCAGATCTCAGGTTTCCTTTTACTGTTACTTGCAAGATTGGATTTCTTTTCCAGACATGATCAACCTAATCACTCAGTAACTACACATCTACTGTCAAAGTGTTGCTTTGCAAGTTACTGTGAAGACACTTTGAGATCTGTTTGATGAAATTTGTTGAAATTTGACTGGAGTCGTATTTCAAACCACCTGTGAATGTGGCTTAGATCTGATTTGCAAAAATCACATTATCACGTTTTTTTAACCCTGAGACTTTCTGAAATCGATCTGGAAAATCTAAAGCATGGATTTAGACTGGCAGTCAGAACCAGGCCTTACCTTTCTGCCTATGCCTCAGTACAATGGACGTGGATGAAATTTAATATGTGGCCCTGGCGTTCAACTTGTCTTTCTAGTTGCGGTGTCATGGTTACTCTGGATAAACCACAGGCCGCACTGTCTGCACTTTAGTGTAAAACGTCCTTGTACCAGTAGAGTAAACTGTTCTCACTGCGTCTTCTTGATGTGATGGAGACGCTTTCTGAAGGATTTTCAAATGTAGATTTTAAATCACTAGTGACTATATACCACCACAAGTAAGTCAATGGTAAATTGACCTCTCTACCTCCACAGCCGTAGCAACAGAGATGAAAAAATTATCTCCATTATTCTAATAACCACTGAGAAGCTCTCATCTAAAACCCCACAGCTGTGTTCTGCACCAATATAACAGGTCATGAGCGGCAAATTTTAAGGACGTGCTCATCGCTATTGGAAACAAACTTCTTCTCAGAGTTAGATGAGAAGATCAATACCACTCTCATATGTGTCCTGACTAAAAAAGTCCACCTACCAGCACCTGTAATTAATACGTCTTACAATACATTCTCAATTGTTCCCATAAGTTTAAAACATGGAAAAACTGGTATGTTGCTTTAAACTTGATCAAGATTTGTCCTCTGAAGCAGACAAAAAGTTCAGCATTGTGCTCAACAAAAAAAAAATCATATGATTTAAAATAAACTGATTTAATATTTAACTAAATTCAATATATGGAATTATGTCTGCGTAGCATTGTTCCGGTAACGCTCACAGTTAAGTAGAAAGTTAACCTTGTAGTAAACCATTGCAGGAGCCTGCAGGACACCTGCTGTAACTTATAATTATCATTGATCACCCGATAAATCTGACGTGTATCATACTCACATCCCGTCGTGCTGTCTGTAGAGTTACAGGTGTTTGCGTTCAGTTGTCTCAGGGTCACACACGATTCATCTGTAAGACGAAGCTGCCACAGAACATCGAGTTCAGTGTCTTCTTTCTCCTATTGTCCCGGGTTGTGAAAGTGAACTTTGGCACAGTGGTAAAACAGAGATGAGACACAAAGCCGAGCTGTAAACTCTAATCCACATGGGGGCTGGCGTTTATTCCTCCGCCTCCTCCTCCTGTACACAGGTAGGAGCAACAACCTGAACACTTGGAACTTTGTTTTGCTCCTTTTATGGTTGTTGTTGTTTGACACACACACCCAGATTTACTGCTGCCGCTGCCCAACACTTCTCTAAAGGGCATTTTCATTTCTGGGGTCACTTTTTTGGTGTCACTACAAATAAATGGTGGTCTGACTAAACTCTAGCCTGAAGAAGAAATCTGTGTGTGTGTATAAATAGACGTGGAGCTTTTTGGATTTCTATTTGCTGAACATGTATTAAATAAATATGTAGGAGCTGAAGGAAGCTGAAGAGCTGGAAGAGTTGTTTTTTATTAATTAATCATTGTTGGGGAAATTAGTTTCTCCTGATCAATGTCAGATCATTTTGCTGATCCTGCTACACAACTAAAACTTTGTATTTTGTCATGAAGACAATAAGAGCTGGATTTTGGCAGCTTTCTCATTTCTGGACCCATGATGAAAATCAATAAATGATCAAATAAATGACAATAATAAATTATCATCAATAAAATGTGAAAATAGTGCAATTGAAAGTAGCTGAAGTGTCACGTGAGGTGTTACATCTTAAAATGTTGGATGAAGTCAAAGAGCTGACAGCAGATTAACTGTCACTAAAACCATCTGAAGAGTGAATTCATGTGAAGGTGGAAAATTCAGTTCAAACCAGAAAATCAGCATGAATCAAGGTGAGAGAAGAGAGTGGTGATTCAAACTGTTTAACTGTTCTAACACAACATACAATCAATGTTTTGACCACTGCTTGTTTGACTCTATGACCTTGAATCACGCACCTTAGATTTATTATTAACCTTAAAGTTATTACCCACATTCCTGAAGGCTAGGTGTGTGCGTGTGCATGCGTGTGTGTGCGTGTGTTGGTAGTGTATGAGATTACCAGTTGATTTCCTTGTTCCTTCAAAACAGTGTTTACAATGATGGCAAAAAGCTAATAACAGGGAGAGACAAACAGAAAACGTGACACTCTACATTCACATCATGCCAGAAAGACGGAACTACAAGGGAAGGAGAGTTTTAAAAATATGGATGAATTTCCCACTTTATTATATTAACCTCTGCAAAATATCTGACAGAGAACAGACTATGGTGAATTCGCTAAAAGCTCCACAGTATGTGGTAATTTTGCTGCCTGGTGGGTGAAATAAAGGTACATTATGAAAAACATTAACTAATTGAACCTGAGTTTTGTTTATTTAGTGGTTACTTCATCAATAAATTATCTTCTAATACTGAAAGGAGAGAAAGACAACAGATGAGACTAATGTAAACTCTAATGATTTCTTTTCAGCAGTTTTTATTTCTTACGTGGCTCTGGAGTGAGCCTCCCCAAGTTATTCCAAATAACTTATGTTGCATTAGTATGAAACTTAAAAATTAATAAGAAGGATTTTTTTGATTCAGTCTCAATTTTGACATCAAGCCAGCACATGGATAATACAGAAAATATGTCTTTGGGATTATGTGACAAACAATTATGAATTGTACTGAACTGCAAACATGTTATGTGTCACTTTCTCATGTGGAGTGAAAGATTATACAAAAGTCCCTCATGACCCATCTCTCTGTTGTGAAGCCTGGTCCTTAGATTTAAAAGGGCCCTTTGTCTCCATCAAGGGAAGATGACTAGATTAAACCATGATGAAGGAACAAAACCACACCTAGTGTACAAAACGTTGAATGCAGGCCAATACCTGAGGCCTCGAACTCTTTTAGGCCGATTTTGATCTACTTCAAGTACTGACCTGAGTGTCTGGTTTCATTAGCTGATTCAAGTCAATAAAAATGATGATTGAGTGAAAGTATTACAAATTAGATCTAGAGTTTATACTTTCTTCACTGAGAAGATATCACATAACAATAATGTCAATCAGTAGACTATGTACCTGCACTAAGGTCCAACAGTCCCCTTATGAAACCGCATTTAAATTCGCTAGTTCCAGATTTGCTTGGGGGGGATCTGCACCAAATTGTACACACTCCTGTTGTTTTTCATTAACATCTATGAATTGAAATTTCTGAGAAATAAAATAAAATGTTGGATAAAACTCCCTATCTTGCAATGTTTAAATTAACTGGTTCCGCACAAAAATGTATTAAATTCTTCCCTGACCCATACCGCATCCTTCCAACAAGTTTCGTGGAAATCTTTCCTGTAGTTTTTGTGCAATCTTTCTAGCTTACAACCAAACAAACGCAGATGAAAAGAATCTCCTTGGTGATGATAGTAACTGACACAGATTGACCTCCAGTTAATTTTTATTTACAAAAAAATAAACCGACATGTTCCACTCCAGTTTCCAACGCTCTAAATACTTATCAATAACAGTTTTTGAGATGCGTTGTGGAACTATTCAGATACTGCACGTGAAGCAGAAAGCACTTCAGCCTCAGCCTTAATGGCTTCTCAGTTTTCTGCTGCTGACCTTTGCTCATCAGACGAAAAGTTCTGCGACACAAGATACAAACCCGGGCTGGTTTACAAACACTGGGGATTGAGCTGCCCCAAATGAGAGAATCACAATTATAACATGGTCATATAGGTGCCAAGAGTTCAGTAAAACTGTTGGTCATGAGGTTCTCAAAATCAATATAAATCTGTGGAGGCTGTAAACGTCCACAGCCCCTTTAATGAGAATACAGGAATTAGTTTACGAGACCCTTGGGGAGATGTTTATCTAATGATGGAGAAAAACAGAAGATCTCACTAGGTGGTGTCACGAACTGACCCTGCCATGAGCAGGGAGACGATACAATTAAAATGTCTTAACCTGTGTAAGCAGCTGTAAATTCATGAAGACGGGGTCCAGAAAGGTGAAGTCCTTCAGGTTACTGTGGTGGCGGGTTAGCAGTGGTGGCCTTTAGGATGCCTCGTAGCACCTTGTAGTTGTTGAGAGGTTGGTTTTCTTTGGGTGGGTAGCAGGGACCGTGATCGGTTGCGTAGGAATAAGGGAAGCGCAGCACCCAAAGACCATCGGCGGGCAACACTAACTCTGTCTGCTCTGGATGGAAAACTGGGCAGGGAGGGAGACCAGGCTGTACCTGAAAACACAGCAATAAAAGGATTAATGTGACATTGATATTAAAATAAATCTTATAAAACAAAATATAAATAAGTATTTTGCTACCAGATATGTGAATGAACCACATTTAAATTCACTAGATCCAGATTTCTATTTAAATCTGCACTAAATTGCACACACATGAATATCAGTCCCCTGAATATGCCAGATTTTTTCCATCTAGATTCATTAATTATTCTATGAGGAATCAACGAAAATGTTGAAAAACACATTATCTCTCAAAGCCGCATCCTTCCAACAAGTTTCGTGGTGATCCATCTGGTAGTTTTTGCAAACTCCTGCTAATTAACAAACAAACATTGACAAAAACATAACCTTCTTGGCAGAGGTAAAAAAAAAAAAAAAAAAAMTAAGTCAACCCTTTGAAATATGAAAATATCTCATTTATGTCTTATTTTTGTCTAAAAATGTAATCGGATTTTCATTCTTTTGTTCTTGTCCACAGTGAATACATGATTTAATAATTCACAGCGTAGGATGGAGAAAGTATGTGAAGCCTGAGGCTAATGACACGAACAACAGCAAATTTGAGTCGCAGGTTTGTTAAACCTGGAGTTGGATCAATGAAAGCAGATTAGAGGTTTGGGATAGAAACAACATAACAGAAACATTTGGATTTTACTGTTCACAAGAAGCACAAAACATGAAAACTGATCTCAGAGGAGGTGTGGATTTGCATGAAGCCGGAGAGGGTCACAAAGTCATCTCGAAGAGTTTAGATATTCATGTGCAGTTTGACAAAATATCTTTGAATAGGGATGATTTGTTTTACTGTGGCTAGTCTCCATAGAAATGGGCGCCCACCTAGAGCGAGACTCCAAAAGCACAAAGCACAATATCAGTGTGGTAAAACTGAGGCCCAGAGTTGTAGCTAAAGGCTTTAAGTGATGCTTGGAGTGGACCAACTGTGTTTGGTTGTTTACCTGTGGGTTGAGTGTAACCTCCAGCGGAGCATCAGGCACAACAATAAAAAGGCGAGCCAGCTGGGCGTAGTGAGGCTTCAGGCCGCGGCCCTGGGAAGGTGAAGGGATGTACAACGGCATGTCTGTGTTAAGCACCCTGGTAGCGGGATCCTTGGCACCCCCTGGCCCCAGCACCTTCACTATTTTATCAGGCCCGGAGCTAATGAAGCGTCTTCCCCTGCTGTCCTCATACTCAAACCCCACGAATGCTCGAGCCATGTCATCCCTCCTGCGACTCCTACCCAGCCCTCCAGTGCTCCCTCGCTTTCCCACCAGGGTCTTGTTAGGGGCTGGCCACGAAGAGGTGCCTCCATCCAAAGGCTCAGTCAGTCCTGTATCCTCCTCCGACCGGGAGCGAATGACCAAGTCCCATGGCAAGAGGAAGGAGGAGCCGGGGAGGAAGCCTGGCTGTTCCAGACCAGTGTGGCAGTTGTAGGACTTTGCTGTTCCCAGTTTGACCAGTGACCAGCTGGAGAACTTAGGTAGCAGACCCTTCGAGCAGCCCGAGTGCATCATACCAGGGAGGTACTCCACAGTGGAGGGCTGTCGATCTACCAGGCTCGGCCTCTTCTGCTGAACTTGGGTTTCGGTTCCATCTCCGTCACCATAGGTGCCCAGACTGTCCGTGGACTGGCCGAGACTGAGGGCCAGGCTGAGGCTGGTGTCTCCGGGCGTGTGACTCTGTGCAGTGCTCGGCTCCTTCAGCCTCTCAGCCTCACCAGACCCCGAGGCCTCAGATTGGGGTCGCGGAGCCTGGTTTGAGGCGGGGGCTGGGTCAGGAGTGCTGGGCTGGAAAACTGGAAACTCGATCCTCTCCAGCTTCCCACAGCATTTCTCCTCCAGCATCTATTCAGGAAGATCAGAGTTAGAGAATAGATTATTATAGTTATTCCCCATCTGTACTGGCCCCAGAGAGATCCCTTCTCAAATCAATTACAATATAAGCGACGGCAAACAAATCCACCGGCCTGTTTCTGATAGAGAACTCATGAGGCTTTGTCAGACTGAGTAACACAAATAAAGATATGGTATCGCTAAAAGGTACAGTCCGCTCATCCAACAACATTTTTTCAATATCCCTATAATTTGGCTCAGCAACATCCACTGTATATTGAAACAAAAAGGGCAAATGACACTAGAAGAACTGTCATTGACTAATTTGACAAACTCAGACAGCTGAAACCAAATATTAACCAAAGCTCAGCTGAGGAAATAATTTTTTTGCACAGAACAAAGAGCCCCATCATTCAAACTGAAATCAGTTTAGGACAGGATCTTTTTGTGACCACAAAAATAGAAGCAATAATTACAATGATGGATGAATAGATAAAAATGAAAAAGCTTTCAATCTTTCAATCTCTCAATCCTGTTTACATTAACATTGCATGTTTATAAATTATTACTTCTTTTAAATGCTTCTTATTTTTAGTACCCTTGCTGCTGCTGTAAAACAGCCGATTTCCAATGATTGTAGGACTAATAAAGAATTATTTTATATTCTTCTTAACAAGAACTCCCTTTGGAATTCACATGATTTCTGCATCGACAGATTTAAGTATCAACTCAGAAATTAAGATGCTGAAATCTTCCATCGAGTCAATGTGTTTACTGACAACTTCTCCAGGAAGTGCAGTGACAAAAACACCACAGTATTAGCACCATCAGAGCCGTGTGTATGATATGTGACAACCGCGATCCTCCGACCCTCAGAAAGCACAGTGTGATTCCTAACCTGGTAGAAGTCATAATTGGCAGCCTGGACGTCAAATGGATCCTCACGAGGAGCCTGCTTCCTGCCACAGTTGCAGGAGCTTGTGGAGCGCCCCCTGCTGTTGTGGTTCAGTATGGGTGGGTTGCGATCCATATCCGGCTTCTCTCCTGCAGAAATGAACGTTAGATTTCATGCATCTGATATTAGCCTCATCAAGAGTTTGACATATAAAAACATGCCTTTACATTAACACATAAAGAACTTTACATATATTTTTGTGGATGATTCCATGATCACACTCTGTCTTTTTGAAGAAATTTACTGAAACAGTTGACTGTTATTATAAACTACATGGGAGATCCCAGAGCGCAGATACATAACATCTATTATACGCCCTGTCTATTTCCTTTACCAGTTTCTGACCTCATTAGCTCCAATGCTGTGTAGCAGAGGCAAGAAAAGTAGAGAGGCATGTTCACCTGGCTGAGGCAGTAAGTGGAACTTGTGAACACAGTGCTGGTCAGTCAGGCTTCGCTCCTCACACAGCTGGTGCCCGTTGCTCCAGAACTTGTAGCAGTCCTCGTGAAGCTGCAGAGCGTAGCGCTGAAAGGCCACGCCACGAGCATGCTGGCTGTACACACGCAGAGCCTGTGCCAACTGGTTTTTGTGCACTGTAGTGGTGTAATTATGGGGAAGGTTGGACTGGTAAGCGCTGTGAGCCAGTGGCAGAGCTTTCTGACACCTGTTCTCAGAAAACTTTGTGTCAGCTTCAAGAAAACCCTCCAAAACCTTCAGCTGGCTTTGCACTTTTGTAGCTAGCTCAGCCATTTCTTCTTCTGTGGTGCTAATAAGGACATGGTGGAGTCTGGAGGCCACCTGGACCCACTTGGAGTAGGTCGGCAGCTCAAAGTGCGAAGGCTGTGGGTTGCGCCCGACACTGTCATCGAAGCCTTTCTTAGTCAGCACGAGCTCTACATGCTGCCAGAGGAACTCCTTCAAGCTACAGTCCAGCAGCTGACCGCCCATCGGCGCAATGCCTGAGTCTGTGCTGCAGCTGGACTGTCGAGCCGAACGTCGCATCTGCTGATAACGCCTTGGCCCTGACACCAGCGTGGTGGAGTCCTGCTCACACAAGGTGCAGTTTGACCGCAGCTGAGAAAGCAATGCTCCCACGGGGTCCTCATCCGTTGCTGGTATCACATACACAAATGCTTGGTTGGCGGGCACGGTGAACAAACAGTTGCTACTTTGGTTGGTCAGGACTCTGCTTTTACGGAAGATGCGATAAATCTGGTCCTCCAGAGCATGCTGCAGCCTCCTCCGGGGAGAGTGCTTTTTGGGTTTGTCTGGATTTCCTCCAGACTCTGAACCATTGGCAGAAACCTTTGGAAAAACAAGGATGTGTCAATTAAACCTGTAATACAAACATACATAAAAACATAATCAAACTGAAAATATACAGCCCAAGAATCCATCGAGAGTTCCTATAGTGCAATATTTATTTACTCTACAGTGTATTACAATAATTCCTAATGATACAATGGATTAAATTAAAGTGACCTCAGCCTGGATAAACAGTATAAAATGAAATAACATACAATAACAACCTGCAGTTAAAAACATTGGTACTTACATTAGGAGACTCAATTTGTAAGACTTGCAGACCCCCCCACTCTGAAAAGGTTTTAACACTGAAGCCCCACACCTTGACTCTAAGTTTTGTAAGTCACTGTAACAGTAAAGAGAAAGATACACTGATGATTGAAACTAATAATAGAAATAAACTATAAGACCTTTAGGGTGCCGTTCATCTGGAAGACGAAGAGCAGGCGCGGAGGGCAGGGCCGACAGTTCACCTTCCACTCCTTGGACACCGGACAGTCTTTGATGGCAGCTCTGATCAGAGGCAGCACCTTCTGTCGCAGGGCGTCCAGGGCTCGGAAGAACCGGTCGTAGGTCACGTCGAAGGTCTGGTTGGGATGGACGAGCAGGAGGACGTGGCACACGGAGAACATGTAGAGCAGGTGGAGGCAGTGCTGTCTGTCCAGGCCTTTCCAGAAGTCATGGGCGTCCGAGTGGCCGGCGCCGGCACTGAGAGTCTGACAGGCCCGCAGCAGCTGGCGGCTGTCGCAGACGGAGGAGAGCATCAGGTACAGAACCCGGTTCTCCTGGTTGTAGAAAGCCTGGATGTGGCTGTCCGCGGTGCCGCCGTCCTCCGGGCCGCCGAACAGCGCAAAGAGGTGTTTATCCGCCAGAGTGTTGACCAGAGACTCCTTCAGCGGCCCCGACTGCATGTTGCTTTTGCCGAAAATACCGACAACACACAAGCCTTCCTCCCGGTACAAAGCGTCCTCGACGAGCTCAGACTGGAGCAGAGCCCCGATACTCACAGGATCAGCCATGTTGGCCTCTCTCATGTTGGGAAACAGCGCGGGGAATAAAAACAACGACGCAGCCACTTCCGGGTTCGTGACGCTAAAATGTCCGAGTAGATGCAACTTATGTGTTCCGCTCCTCTGTTGGTTGCATTATAACAATAGATTATAACATTATAAACACTGAGTGGAGTTTCTATCGGATACATTGGAGAACGATTTGTTTTGTATTTAAAAATACAACATGATTAAATCAAATAGAGTAGGTAAGTATTATCATCTTTAAAGTTTTATAATAGCATATGTACAGTATCAAAATTAAAAGTACTCACAACCGAATGACCCATGTGACTGTTACATGGCATGACTGTTATTACAAATATTTCATGTATAACAGCTTCAACTGATTGAGCTAATTTTACATATCATATTAATATATTATATTATGTTTATCACAACAGCAAATTAGAACACACGAGAAATCACAACACACAAAAACACAATTCCCAAAAACAACAACATGACAGCAAATCACAAAACACGTAGACAGTGCTGCTGTGGTTCGTTGTTGTTCTCTTATTGTGTTGTTGTATGTCGTGATTTTCTGCGGAGCCACCACAGTTATATAAGAGTGAATCCTGATTTAGCTCATCATGCTCTACATTTACTTACTCTAGCATTACACACATTTAACAATGTTAAGAAATAATATTATAACAAATAAAAGGTGTAAATCACTCTTGAAAGTCAAACTAAAAGCTTTCTGTCACAGACTCATTAATGAAACCACCTTCAAACCCTCTCCAGAAGGTCTCGGACGTCTGACGACTAGAGGCTGCGTGCGCGCCGTTGAGCTCTCTCTGACGTCACTGCCCTGTGATCGTGCGAAATCCCCGATAACGCGACGCGCGCCCCCGCTTGGCTGTGAATGGGGACTGGGTCCGGCTTGTGACAGCTCCTCCTCGGCGGTGAAGCCTCAGACACATCGGTCCTGCCCGTACAGTCCGGTCCGCTGCTCCCAGACACACCGGCAGTCCACGGCACAGCTCCTCCGGTACAGAGCACGTTCACTGTGGTAGTGTGGCACTGACTCTCCTGTAGTTGGGTTAGTGCACCGACTCGTGTCTTCTCAGTCCGGTAAGTTAGTGGATCCATACTCACGGACGGAGCTGTCTCTGTCTGTCCAGGAATGAGAAATGATGGCCGGCTCTTCAGCAGAGGAGAAAACCTTCCGACGGTTCCTGGAGCTCTTTCTCCGGGAGATGAGGATGCCGCTGCAGGAGAGCGACCCGGTGCCGATGCGCCCTTTGTCGGACCTGGTGTCTGAGGACGAGGTGGAGGGGGAATGTCTCGACCTGTGTCTCCAGCACCTCTACAAATAGTTAAGTGTGCACTTTCTCTCACGGCATGTTGTAGTTGTTGTTGTTGTGTTTCCAACGTGAAATCCTCGACACAGAGCAGTGAAGTTGTCGTGTTGTGTTTGATGGAGGTGTGTGTGGAGGTGAGCGGGCTGCGAGCCCGGCTGGGTCAGATATGCCGGGATGCTCGCCTGGTCGCCCGGGTACCTGCCAAATGCCCCGCTGGGTGTGTCCAGCCTTTTTATTAACAGTCAATGGTCCCACACCAGGTTTACACAAGTGTCTTTGCTGTAAATGGGAAATGAAATATAAAGCAGAAGTTAAAAGCGCATCAGTTCTGCTACTAACAGCACGGCCGTGTTATGTTGCATTATAATATAAAGTCTACCAGTGCATTGCATCTGTTTTATGTTTTATTTATATAAATTGACGCCATCGCTGACGGAGCTGTAGATCTACAAAAGGTGAACCCCTGGTTTTGCGTAACAGCTCGACGTCATCTTGGTGTAGGAGGGGGAGGAAGCCATCGCCATCACTGCTGAGCGCATCTTCAAGCGGGCTATAAATAACCATCCCCGGTTACGTTATTAGCCTCCATCGTTAGACTGATCGTTACACCGTGAAATCCAAGACACACAATGAATTGTCACAGATTTTAAAGTGTTGCCACCTGAAAATATGTCACAGGATGACTCAAACCTGCACATGACATGTTTTACATCTAGATCACACAGTGTGCTCATTTTAAAGGGCTGCAAAGGAAAGACTGAACACAGGATGCATGTTAACAACCATGTTCATACATCAGACAGAGAAAGGTCACTGAAATACATTCTTTAGAATCCAGCGTTTAAGACAGGGGCAAACTTTGCAGACGCAGTTGCACTGAGATCTGATTCTGCTGCTGCAGAAAGAGAGCTCTGCCCTGAGCTCAGCTGCCTGGCCTGGTTTTAAATCCAAAATAGGTGCAGAAACTGTGCTGGGGAGAACAGGGTGGAAGGACTCATCTAGGGCACTGAAAAGTGGCAAGGGGACTGCTGCTTGCATGAAAAGGACTTTACCCGACCTGATAGGCAAACATGTACAGTGTATGGCACTTGATAGAGGGTCAGGATGCACTCCAGCAGTGATGGAGAGCGCATGTGTCGGTGGCAGGTAGGACCAGACACTTGAGCCAGTCTCATAGCTGAAGGGAAGGGTTTACTTCAAGTTCTACAGGCACTGATTATCAACTTAAATCCTATTTGTGTAATTTGTATAACAAAGCAGTTTAAACTGCCTCATCTAACTCTCTGAAAAGACTCTCAGAAAGAAACTGAAAATATTTCCCAAAATGTCAAAATTTTCATTTGAGTGAGGATGTTCTCAAATAGTGTTAGAAAATAATCTTTAAGGTTTAGGTAGTAGTTCACTATTTTGTGAAAAACCTTGGCTTTGATTCAAAGCCACAGATGATATGATCTATATCGGTGTGTGGAGGTGGAGTCCAACTTCTGGGATTTGGGGCAACTACATGTCTTCACTCCTCAAACATTGCGAACAGTTGATTGCATAACGACTGGTTATTTTAGGGGACATCTCTCCAAACTGGTGTGTGATGTCCTGCTTATGATGCTGAAAGCCAGAGTTACCCCAGTCAGTTGAATGGAGTCAGTCTAGTTTGGCTTTGTGAAACGGCCAAACTTACTAAAATAGCCTAAGCCTGCTTTCTATCACATCCCTCTGTCTCTCTTTTCTGGCCGAGGTAGTGACTTATTTGACTTGTATCACTTGTTGGCTCATCACTGTGTGGCAGTTCATCTGGACTGTACCGACCAGTAACTCACTCGTTCAGCTGCTCACAAGGTCAACAGCGACATAAATATTGTTTCAGTTTTTAGGCTGGTAGAGTTTAAACATACATGAATAAGCTCAGTCGGTTGTCCAGAGTCAAAAAACTAAAATGTTCAAAAAGGTCTATGTTCATATGACAAAGCTGTAGTATACCTGAGTCTTGTTTGTTATAAGCAAATGTGTGTTAGTTTCTGTACTTGTTTCTGTTACTTCTGTAGGACATTTTACTGCATAAACACTGACCTTGTTGGGACCAGGTGATCTTATGGGGACTGAAGCCTGGTCCTAATACATTTTTGAGTCCTGTGCGTTTTGGTTAGGCTGTTCTCAGTGATTGGAAGTCGGTGCAAAGTCATATCAATGATAGCAGATACTGTGTGTTTGTGTGTGGGTGGCAGCAATCACGACGCTGGGCTCACATCATGTGAGCCCTGGATGACATCACCCAGTGCTTTTAATTGTAACCTACAGAGAATCGTCATAGGAACGGGCATCTTTCTGCATCCTTGTCACGTCACATCAGAAAACACTATATATAGTTCTGAAGGTCGGAACCAATAATACATTTTTGGTTTTTAATATGGAGGACTTGTTGGAACATTTCCTGTTGGTAACTTGACTAATATTTAATGAACAAATGCAATGACCAACATCTATTACACAACTCATCAGCTTTTCCTTTAGCAGCTGATCTCACACATTTCTGTGCGTGTGAGGTTTGTTGTGTATGAGCTGCTTCAGTATTTGAATGGAGCCAAACGCGCAGACTCCTTCTCTGGTCGAGGAGAAAGTGGGAACACAGATCAGGTATCAACTTTCTCTCAGAGCTGAAACACGATCTAATGTATAATTTATTCTTACATTAACTTTGCCTGTTGCCAGTGAAAGCTGTGCTCTCTGTTCATGTGTGAAACTGTGCACACGACGAGGTCTGATCTGTGTCTTTTTTGACACATCTTTACATTGTATACATCAGTTGCTATAGTAACAACCCAGGAGTCCTTGCACTATGTAATAATGGTGTTCTGTAGTCGGCGTGAACACAGCAGCAGCAGCAGCAGCCACGTTTCTGACAGAATCCTTTATATGTGTCAGGTTGATAACTGTGCTTTAGATAACTCCAGAACCAATGCAGGCAGAACACTGGGTGCTTTGCAGTCACTGTTATTTTGCTTCTTTCTTACTCTCAATAAATAAAACCGCTCTCTTTAATGTTTTCATCTTGTTTGGAAAATCAATGAAAAGGACATTATGGTAATAGGTCTGTCAAACACAGGGCTGAGTGTCATAAGATATGTTTTGAATTTGCAAATGTGACCTGTAAGTATAAATTATCTTCATTATTGATTAATGCAAATAAAAGTTTGGTATATGAAATAATGTCTTTAGATGTTTTGCTGAATACACAATGATATTCAATATTAAATTATAAGAGAAAAAAAGGGTTATCAACATATTGATAAATTAGCAAACTGATGCATATGTGCTATCAGAATTTCAGCACTGATTTTAGTACTCAGGGAATTAATAGGTAAAAATAGATTATGTCGTGCAGTTAAACCTAAATAAGGTTTGGCTGTGACTGCAACCGATGCCTCGAGAGGTGAGAATGAACAAAACTAATTTATCCAGCTGGAAAACCCAAACTATGAGATTTATGAGGCTAGAAAGCTCGTGGCTCTGACCCCCAGGCCAGCAAGGGAGATACAGAGCAATATTAAAATTCATTCGAGTCATGTTTCTGTCCACATGATTATTGTAAGTACAACATTCACCCTCTTTTAGCTCCGTCACACTCTGAGCTGTTGAAGCTGCACTAGTTTCTCACAGTTAGTGTACAATGGGTTTTTAGAGCTTTTGTCTCTGTGAAAAGCTGCCTGCTGTATCTGGAAATTATGTTTTTCTTTCCTAGTTCCAATACATCTACCCGGAGTATCTGCCGATAAAGAGAACTAATGTGATCATTGTTTTTCCCCAAGGGAAATTCTGTAAACGTCACAGCCTGGGATACACTGGGGAAATTGCTATCCAAGGTAAGCAGACTAGGAAATGTTGTGCTGGTAAAAATGATTCAGGATCCTGCATGGGACAGATGCAAAACTGGAAGAATCCAAATATCTCAGGATGAAAAAGAGGAGCCACACATGTAGAAGACACAGAGGAAGACGTCAACTAGTCTACACCAGTGACAAAAACCTTTCCTTGTCGTTCTTTGAATGTGAAAGACAAACTCTGGAAAATAAGGATTTGTATAGCTTTTAATCACTTACCAATTAAAATAATGAGTTAACAAGATTATCAATATAACCAGACATGACAGTTCTTCGATACTAGGTACCATGGCGACATTTGTTTGGGATAAATAACCAGTGCCAATTAAAACATTGATCTCTGGACACCAGTTTAAGATTCCAAACATGATGCTGTGAAAACCTGCAGACACAAGCGTCTTAGTGGCTCATGGATGAGAACTTTTCCTGCAGTTCTTGCAACAGACGAAACAGACGGTTGATGGTATGAGTGTGTGTGTGAGTGCGTGTGCATGGTGGACAGAATCCTACATGGTTGTCTACTGTAGCTTTAGCCGTGAGTTTAATGATAGTCGGAGGCAGCAGCGCTGGTGATTCATCCCAACGTGTCATTAGTTTGTCTCTGGGTTGAACAGCTAATAATAGACTTCTGCTAGGAGAGAGATCCCCTCTGTGTGCGAGTGTATGTTAATAGGGGATGGGTGAAGCACTTGGTGTTTTAGAACGAGTTTGGGTGTGTGGACAGTGTGTGTGCGTAAAAATGATGCCAGTTGGGTTTTAATCCATTTTCCTCCAGGCAGCTGGGAGTCACATCTTAAAACAACAGGATGCAATCTACTCCCCATTAACACAGTACAGTTTTATCCTCGGAGGGTTTACTCTGAAGTACTCTATGACTTAAAATTATTATAAAGAATAAATTATAAATGACGATTCTGTGTGAATAAAACAAGCAGACACATACATGCATCTGGGTTGTAGGGAGAAGTAGATGAGCCGCCTTCCTCTGATTTCAAAGCGAGTAGGTTTTGATCATTTAAATCATAATCCAGTAACTCCTGCTGGGTTTAATTCGCTTCTCCACTCAGGACTTTCACATCCACACTTTGGACATTGTACAGAGGTAGTATGTTAATTTTCTTTTTTTCCCAACTTCAAAC